GGGGGTGGAGGCCTCAGGAGGGCTCTGTGCAGCCCCTTCTGCAGCTCTTGCCCCAAAGGCTGATCCCAGGTCACAGCTGCACCACATGAGAGCTGCCCGTGAGTGCAGGCAGCCAAACCCCACTTCAGGAAAAGAGGGGGGAATGACACTGAGACCATGATGTATACTAGCTGAACAGTAGTCCTGATAATTTTGGGTATAACTTCTGAAAGAATAAAGGGGTTTATGACTTCAAATAAAATGGAGCTGATCATTATTTAGAGATGTCTCAACAATCTTAGATGTTCACTAAGGCATTAACATTGTTTTCATATAATCAAGACCAGATTTCATATTGGAAGTCTTTCATATATGTGACAATGAAAATTCTATTCTATTCATGGAGGGACTAATATGTGAAATTCATGCTAATTAGAAGGGCAATTTTCACATCCTCTGGTTGTGAAATTACAATTTCTATATAAGAGATTGTCTTTGGAATAATTTAGCAGATGACTTTATTTCAGAGGTATTTGTACTGAGAGTCTTCAGAAACATGACTACAGATTTTAAGGGTGTTACATGGACTAAACTGAAAATTTAAACAAAAAAAAAACCCCACCACCACACACCTAGCTTAGAGAAATACCTTCCTCAAGTTTGCAACGTCATGTGTCTTTTCTTGAGAAATGCAGAATCAAATAATTTTTCCTAATGACCAATTTATTTGTATGTGATAGGAAATTATTGAGTTCACCCCAAATCCTAGTGACTTAGAAATCCTGATTGTGACAGACTAATTCTTTGGTGCTTGCCAATTGTCATCAGAATGAAATAGATTATGCTTTGGTACAAGCATGTTAACTTTTAGTTTGTGACTCTGTATGTATGGTCACACTGCCAGTCCTGCAGTTGGAATCATTCACCAAAGAGAACTTGATTGTTTTCTGAAAATTAAACATAGCCTCAGAGAAATAATCAGAATGGAAAGCTTGCACAGAACTAGAGGAAGCTGAGAGAAGTTCCTTACTTACACCTTATGTTCCTCACACAGTTGCTGCGACCTATAAAAAAACTGAAAATCTCTAACTTTTGAAGTTCAAAGACAAATAGAGAAGGATGGCTGCAAGTGATAGCAGGTTGCCAAACAACAAGAAAAAAGATATCCAGCATGTGTCAAATTAAGTTTTCAGACAAGTGTTATTTTCTTCCTTCACAAGTTGGTTTACTGAATTGGCATTCTGAGCTGTTAGAATTTATATGCACGGTATACAAAGTTGTATCTATCCAGAAGCTTTATTTGTCCAATATTTTAACATGTTGCATCAACCTCCTTCTGCTGTCTACTGCCTCATTCCATGTGCAATTACTTATATAAATCAGAATATAATTTTAAAAGAACAGTAGAATATTTTTTGTATCAGTTGTGCCTATTTTACTATGAACAATTACTTCTTGCTGTCGTGTGATTTATTATTTCAGTCTTAATCTGAAATTGTTCATAAAAGATGACAGTACAAGATCTTTTACTTCCATGAAATTAAGCCCCCATCCTGGCTGAATTCACTAACGTAACACGCAGTAAGAAGCAGCAGTACCAACAATTATCAGCTTTATTTGTCTGATCTAGAAGGAACCCCCACATAATAATAAATATTCTATAACCTCAACTGAATTTAAATGCTTATATCTCAGGCACTGTAACCAAACTGAAAAAGGAATAAATCATCAAATCATTCTGAGGATCCTAATCTAACTCCCTGACGACAGTCAAACATGTCTATGCTCTGCTACTACTCAAGACAATGAGCCTTGTATGCAGTAGTTCTTCTTGTGACCTTGGAAAGGGAAGTGTTTTTTGCAATTCTATATCTTCTGAGATGCATGTTACTAACATCAATCTATTTAGTAGCAGAATCTGGTGTGAATGGCACGAATTTGTCTTGAAACTTTATATCATGAAAAAGATCATAAACAGATCAAACATCTTCCTCAAAGAACATTTCAGACAGTTTAAGAATTATCTTATGCAAGGTGCACAGCAGACATATATAACCAGACAAAAAATGCCTACAAAGACCAAGGAAAATATAGCAGTTTAAACAGGAAGTGGTTAGAAGTCATCCTTCAGGAAGCTTGACACGTTCAAGAGAAAAGAATTAATTTGGGTAAATTCTGGTTTACCAAAAATAATTTTCATTAAATAATGTGTACAGGCATAAAAGAGATCATAATGAGGAGACTGCCACAATCTGCCTCTGAATTAAATCTCTTGTTTCAAATTCACAGTGATTAGAGAGAAACTTCCTCTACAATATTATTTTATGCAGAATGAACTGGATGATATACATTGATCTGATACTTCAGAAAGAAAAGTTATGAAGTCAGTCAACAAAACCCAGTAACAATTCGTATTCAGCGATATTCAGCATGAAACATCTCAAGTCAAAAATAATAAGATTCACAGAACTGTTAGGGTTGGAAGCGACCTTAAAGATCATCTAGTTCCAACCCCCCTGCCATGGGCAGGGACACCTTCCACTAGACCAGGTTGCTCAAAGCCTCATCCAGCCTGGCCTTGAACACTTCCAGGGATGGGACATCCACAGCTTCTCTGGGCAACCTGTTCCAGTGCCTCACCATCCTCTCCGGGAAGAATTTCTTCCTGACATCTGATCTACAACTCCCCACTTTCCATTTAAACCCATTATCCCTTGTGCTGTCACTACAGGCCCTTGTAAAAAGTCTCCCCCAGCTTCCTTGTAGCCCCTTCAGGTACTGGAAGGGGCTATAAGGTCTCCCCGGAGCCTTCTCTTCTCCAGGCTGAACAAGCCCAACTCTCTCAGCCTGTCCCCATAGCAGAGGTGCTCCAGCCCTCTGAGCATCTTCGTGGCCCTCCTATCTAACTATTAAATGTAATACAGAGTCTATTCATTGACAAGAAGGATAAAAGGGGGCACATGTGATGTCAGTTTATTAATTTTTAAGGAATTTCAGCTTTAGATCAACTGAATAATAGAAAAGTGAGTCTGACATCCACACTGGACAGATATGTAGAAACCAAAATTGAGGATAAAATTAGCAAGAATATGAATAAATTATGATAAAATATGGAAAAGTCAGAATGGCTTTTGTAAAGGGAATTTGTGTCTGTTACATGTATTAGAATTCCTTCAAGGATTCACAGAGAAGGTAAGTAAATGGGATTTGATCATACTGTTGAGTTGGGCCTCCAGGATTTTAAAGAATCTCAGCTGCCCACGGAATTGGAATAAATTCATCCCTGAAAACTTAACTGATGAAAAGACAAGAAGGAAAGAACAGGAATATATTATCAGGGTTTTTTAATGGAGAAGTATTACCAATGAAACTTCACAAGTGATCTGTATAGAAACTGCTATAGTCCAGTATATTCATAAATTGACTAGAACAGAAACGAATGAGAGACAGAAAAGCACATTTCTCACACTAAACTATCAACAGTAGTAGAATAAAAGCTGTCTGAGAAGAGCAGCAGAACAAACTCATAATACTGAATGGAGAAGTTGGCTTACAGAAAGACAGATTTAGGTTAGACAGTAAGAAAAGGTTGCCATGGTGAGGATGGTGAAGCAGTGGAACAAATGACCGAAGAGGGTGTGAAAGAATCTCATTGAAAATGTGTCAAGTCAGACAAATATCTGCCAAGTTCACATGATCCATCCCAAGGACAGTCTAAATGATGTATCAGAACTCTTCATTAGGAGATGAAGCCTTCCTTCTAAAGAACCTTTTCTATGTTTCTCAGTATGCAGACATAATGACACAAATATCTGTCCCTGACTGCCTTTTAAAATCAAATTAAATTAATACAGAAATTATTATATCTCTTATTACTGGCAAGATGATTCAGTTAATTATTAAAAAAAAATACAAGGCAGTTTGAGGGATTCACACATAATCTCAGTACCTTCAGTCATCAGGAAATAGCAGCTTATTTTATACTTTGTCAATCAAAAACATGAGTCCATTATTTAAGCCTACCTTTCAACATTGGACCAAGAACTACATAACATTCATACTGTTGTCTCTTGCCTTCCGAAAGATTAGAGATAATATTTGCAGGTGGCATGGTATTTGGAATTAATGTATTACAGGAAAAAAACAGATGTATGGAAATAAATTATAATGGAAAATTACTATATTATTATTAAATTATTGTATTGATTTACAAAATATGTATTTCCACAAAATAATAGCAAAAGACATCTTGAGTATTTTCGTTAATATTCTACAAGTTTCTGTCAAAAGGTGATGAAGGTTCATATCAGATGTGGCTGCTTTATCTAAAATGTTGAATAAAGTGATCTCAGAACCGTTTTCTGTGATTACCTACGTTCTTCTGAATTTTTATTCTATGATCAAACTTTTTAAACATCAGATTGCTGTTTTACCTATTGTTATACAATAAACACCAGTATACCAGCTGTAAGTCTATATTGTTAATGCATTTGAATTTTTACTAAAAATATATTGACGAATGTATGTATATTTATTTGTACATATACCCAATATGTGCACGTGTAAAATAGATAAGAAATATTTTAAAACTCTAGAATATATTGTATATACTGTTCTAACTCTAATTTTAGAATAATCTTATACAGAATAACCTGGGCAAGCAGACAAGAAACAAATCCTTGCTCTAACTTGTAATAATTCATGTCTCAACAGTATCATCACTAGACCACTAGATATACCTCCCTCTCTCCTATACAAAGCTTCAATCCATCAATCAAAGAATTCATGAGTCTGTGAGTAGAAATGTGACATGCATTAACTTAAAAGCCATAATCACAAATGCATCTGCAAATGGAAATTGTTTGAAAAGAGGACAGATGTCTTAAAAGCCCCTGAACTAGGTCTCATTACCTCTTTAAAGGAAATCCATTTCAGTAGCTATGTGATTTGGATGCATAAGCAATGACTAAGAGATACCAGGTTTAGGAGAAGCTTGTAATTAATCTTCCATAATTCCGTACCTTATTTGACCGTAAAGACACTCTTCCTCCGCAGCGCGCACAGAATTTAGTTTGGCAATATGAACAGTTATGGCCACAACCATCAGCAAATTTTGTTTTGTGGCAGATGCCACAGGTTGGGGCATCACCCTTCTGTTCCTGCTGCTGCTGGGATTCTTCACCCATCTTCTTCACTTGCTCCTTATACATTTCAAACTGCTGATGTAATTTTCTGCAGAAGAGAAGAGATCATGAACAGTTGTTTTAAGTCCACAAATACTTGGTGATCACTAAATTGCAATCAATTTCAAAACACTAATCAGAGAGAAAAAAATGTAGTAAAGGAAATACACTACATTTATGATGCTCCAGAAAGGTATCATTCAAGAATTACCTCTTTTTCATTACAACTGAACTCTGGGAGGAGGCCCAACACTAATAAAATGCAGGACACAGTCCAGATGTTACAAGGAGAAGTAACTTTGCTTTAGGATGCACCAGCTGTCAGCTGCAAATACAACAGTAGGAAACAGCCTGAGTGATCCCAGAGCACATGGCACTACACGATATGCTGGTTAATACCAGAATAAAATTATAATTTATTCTTCCAAGTGTACTTTTACCAAATTCCACCAGACAGGTGCAAATATCTTCTCTTGATAGAGTTTATCTTCATTTATCCAAAATATTGTACAGAATAATGATTCTAAAATGCTTTTTCAATCATTTTTCTAACACTGGATGCAAGCCTATAACAAGTTACCTCAACTTAAAGTTATCAATCATTTAAGCCATTCATATCATTATACAGATACTGCCACCTCATGCCAAATGTAAGGTAGAAGACTTCCTCAGGTTTAAAATCCAGAGACAGTAGTAAGATACACACACACATTTTGCCTTCCATTTCTAGTGGACATTCATAGCTGCATGGGTAAATAGAACTGCAATGATTCCTTCAGGCACACTACTTCAATTCATATTTCTGAACCTACGATAATCAAAACTCTATACGCGATAGTTAAAACTGTCTCACTATGACCAAAGTTACAGACCCATTTCATATTCAATAATGGCAGTTTTTTCCCCAAAGCCCCTATTTCTGAAGGTAAAGTATGTCAAGGGAAATTTTTCATTGCTAAAAGTTAGAATCTTTTATTTCCTGTCCTTGAAGAAAATGAGCTGGTAGATGTGACCTAGCATATTGTAAGATTCAAAAACAAAGAGAAAACAAAAAACCTTAGACTTTTCTTTTGGTTTTATCCTTGTGATTTAAAGGTGTCTGAACAATGATCTTTAAATGTGTAGTGTGGCATTCAACTCACCTAATTTTGCTAATAGAGACTACAAATTTTAGCAATTTAATATTTATTAATCTAATTTAAGGAGTTCATTTAGCTCCCTGAACAGACACAAACAAATCCCCCAAAATGAAACGTTTTCTATGAAACATTATAATGGTATACTAAGCCAACAAATTAAAAGTGCAAAAGAGATTTATTCTTCTTTAGAATTATCCTTCTGGAAATTCTTGACGCAATTAAAATACACACTTGAAGCCTAATATAGAACAAAGAATAACCTCCTGGAAAGAAATTAAATCTGGGAGGCCAATTTCCTTAATTCAGAAATATATCCTTTGTATAATTCAGATATAAATTAATGATACAAAATTATGTCATCAGAAATGTCAGAGGCATTTACCAAAACAAATTTTAGCACACTGAGTCAATTAAGAATTGTCTCAAACAACATTATTTACCATAGCTATCCAAACATATGGCAAGTTTGTCATATGTCAATTAAAAATTATCTTAGTATTATTTGATATCGCCATTCACACATACGGCAGGAATTGGTGGGATTTGCTTTCTTTTTTCAGCAGCACAATGAGAGGGGCCATGTCTCGCCTCCGCAGGAAGGACATGAGGGTCGTCACTGCCCTAACAGGCATTTGTGGAGTCAGGAGTACGTGGCTTCCTCTGCCTTCTCACTGCTCCAAAAAGACTGTTCTCTCTTGAATGGGGCAGTACACAAGTTACTGGTAAGGAAGAGCTGAATGAAGCTGAGAACAAAATTTGGAAATCTGGAAACCTGACACTTTCAACGTTTTACCCTGACAACAGTATATAATTGGTAGTTGGTAGTCTGGCACACTTCCATCAATAACACATGTAATCTCTGAGACCTTACTTGCCTTTAATTTTGCCCAACATTGCACTCTTCATTTAAAGTATATTATCTATGCTGAACTTCAAGTCTATTTTAGGCTACATTCAGTTTTGTGGCTTCCTTATAATCTACAGCCTTTGTTTGTATGATTATTTGCTTACCAGTCTCACTGATGCATAAAAAGCACAAGCCTTTTGCCAATTCTTAAGCTTCACACTGAAATGATTTCACTTTTTTTCCTCTTGGGCACAAGAATCTATGTAAAGGTCACAACTTTTGCCTCAAAGTATAAACTTTTCAAGGTTATAAAGAGTAGTTTTCCAAAATCCTTGTTCTAGTAACAAAAACTTATTGTCTGCTGAAATAGTTAGTTATTACATCTTTTTCTGTTCCAAGAAACATACTACATGTGTTGATAGCTGTCAGAAAAAATTAACCATGTGCTGATTTTAGTTGGGACAGAGTTAATTTTCATCACAGGAGCTAGAGTTTTGGATTTGTGCTATGAAGAGTATTGGTAACACTGGTGTTTTTAGTTGTTGCTAAGCAGTGTTTGTACAAAGTCAAGGACTTTTTCAGCTTCTAATGCTGCACCTGTGTTCCCAACTTTTTTGGTATAAGAAGCTGTGAGGGGACACAGTCCAGACAGACAACCCGAACTGGCCAAAGTGGTTTTCCATTCCCATTCATTTCAGATATGGTCAGTATAGAAGTCAGGGGTGGCCTCAGGGACATGTTGAGTGGTTGGCTCTCTCAGCTGCTCTCTTGCTTGTGGGGCTCGTTGTGACTGGAGCGCTCTAGCTTGGGCTCTCGGGCTCTCCAGCTCTAACCACTTAGGACCTGTCTGAGGTAGGCGGGTGGTGAACAGTTGTATCATTTGTTTTATTTTCCATTATTTTCATTGCTTATTAGTATTGTTATCATCAGTATTTTATTCATTCATATTCCATTCTTAAATTGTTCTTATCTCAGCTTATGAGTTTCCTTGTCTTTTCCTCCAATTCTCCTCCTCCACCAGAGGAGGGGGAAAATGAGCGAACGGCTGTGTGGTACTTAATTGCTGGCTGGGATTAAACCACAACAACACAGAAGTCAATAATCTATTAAATAATTAGTTACACACAATACGTTTTCTACTTACTGAGCAGAACCACTTAAGAAGAGTATGCATACTTGAAACAAAATACAAAGTATTCATTTTAGGAAGTCTGTAAAAAAAACTTCTTGGTCTATTTTATAAAATAATAATTATTTTTTTATCATCTAGCCTAGTACTTGATACGTGATGGCACTCAAGATGATCTGTTCCATAACCTTCCCCAGCACCAAAGTCAGGCTGACAGGCCTGTATTTCCCCAGATCCTCCTTACAGCCCTTCTTATAGGTGGGTGTCACATTTGCTAAGCTCTAGTCAACTGGGACCTCCAGGTAAGTCAGGACTGCTGATACATGATTAAAAGTGGCTCTTCAAGTGAAGAATGAGGGGATGATGAACTCCACACTATTTTTTTCAATTAGGAAATACATTTTTTCCCTAACTCTAAAACAAAACTTAACAGATACAGGGATTTTTGCTAGCTTTTTAAGTATTTTGTTTAGAACAAGAAGGTTAAATATAAGCCATATAATGACAATAACAGCCATGTTCAACAGTGTCAAATAGTAAGATATTTAAGGTTTTTTTCTAAACATAGATCAAACCCTCTTGAAAACGTGAGTAGAAATAAATCTCTAAAACTTTTAGCTTTTTCATCCATATATGGTTTGAGTTGTTTTACAGGTGGAGGTAACTGCAAAAAGCCATGATTTTCATGGTTTCTGTTCTCTAACTTATTAAGGAATACGTACTTATTTTGCAATATTCATTAAACTGAAATAAAAACAGATCATCATTGATGAAACTTTAAGTACAAGAACATGTTTAAGAAGCCTACAAAACAGTCCCAGAATAAGGACTTCATGGATGCCTTAAACATGGTGAAAGTTAACTTACAACAGAAATAACCTCATTCATGCTAAGAAAAATACTACCTGTCTCTCAGATCACAGAACTATATCTTTATCAATATAATACTCTTGCTGAATTCCCATGAAAAACACAAGGTTGCCAAAATTGAATCCTATGTTAAAAAGGCACATAATCATTTAAAATCAGTTACTGCAGTTCACACATACGGGACATTATGCTTTGTGACAGTTTCACTGAAAGAACTATTGTAAAAAACATATAATTTCATTCTAAGTGAGTATATATACCATAAATCTAAATTAATTACACTACTGTGCCCGAAATGCTGAACAAAGAAAAAGAGCTAAGAAAATTGAAAGAACGGAGTGTGGTTGCTAAATGATCTTGGCCTTGGTTTATACCAATGCTGCTGCTCAATTGTAACTCAGGTGAGAAAAGCAAACTACAGCAGGGCTAATTAAGTTCTCTGTTTCAGTCTGTCTTCGTCATGTTAGGGAGCAGGGTATGCCCTAATAGCATTTGCCTCACGCCGAGGAATGGAACCAAAATTTCTGTGCTGGTAGGAACTTCGTAGAAGCCACTCTTGGCCACAAAAACATGGCCGAGATGAGATCTTCAAGCTGCCCTGGCTCCATTCTCTCTTTCCCCCATTTACTAGGTCTTTCTGCAAAGGCTTCCAGTTCACACTTTACCACATTTTGTTCTCAGTTTGTTTGACCTCCCTCACAACATTCCTCTCATTGCACTCTTCCAGTGTCATAATGAATGAATTAATTAATCTGGTATTACCCTAAATAAGTCTGCAACTATGGATGAAGTCACATCACTGAATCTAGTTAATTTCAATACATTCAGAAACCCAGTAACAAAGACAAGAAAGGATGTGGGGGGAAAAAAAAAATCTTAAAAGCAGTGAAGAGTAGCTAAGAACAATAGTCCTGTGCAATGCTACAAGAAAAAGTGAACATGGAGAAGATGAACATATGGCAAATTAAAGGTTGACCCAATTAATGTTACCATATTCTTGTGTGGTTTTAATAATAACGAGATAAAGCTGGACAATGTGTATATAAATGAAAAAATAAGTAGGT